AAAAAAAAAAAAAAAAAAAAAAAAAAAAGAAGAGAGAGAAAGAAAGAAGAAAGAAAGAAAAAGAAAGAAAGAAAAGTACATTGAGCATGTTTGAATGTGTACCTCAGACCCTGACTGGGCGGAGAAATGTAAAAGAAGGGTGCATCCAGGCCCCACGACCGGGGGTTAAGGGGTTGCTCCCTCTCCCTCTCCTTCTGTCTCCCTTTGGTGTATGCATGTGCTCTCTGACAAATTAAAAACAAACAAAAAATGTAAGGAGACAATCAGAATATACGTCTTGATTACTACATGCATTCTCATACTAAATTTAAAGAGAGTATTTACATTGCAGAGCAGTAGTATTTTTATTTGTTTGTTTGTCTTTTATGTCAGTGAGTTCTCACATTCAAAATGTGCCCAATGCAACTAAAAAACTAAACTTTTCATTTTATTCCAATTAATTTAAATTTTATTGAATCTTCAGTATAGTTACTGAAACACTTTTAAGTATATTGGTAACAACTTGGCATGTGAGTTTATTTTGAAACTGTAAATTTTATGAAATTTATATACAGGTCAAATATTTCTGATTGAATTAAGCAATAATTGAGATAGGCTCATATATGAAATACATACCAGACTGCAAAGACTTAACATGAAAAAAGTATTAATAAATTTTGTATTAGCTACATGTGAAAATGATGATATTTGGACATATCAGTTAAATAAACTATATAATAAAAATTAATTTAAGCTATTTCTTAGTCACCTTTTTAAAAAATTTTTGCCATATAGTGTGTGTACTCACTGGAGAAAGACAGAGACAGAGACAGACAGTGAGAGAAAGTGAGAAATCACCCTGCAGGGGGGATGGCCATGCCACAATTCCTTCTCTTCCAATCTTCTCTCAGGATTTTGGGGATGCGCACACACATGCCCAGCATGTTGTTCAGGCCACCAGGTCCAAGGCTTGAACCACAGAATCATCCATCTAGGATCTAGTGCCTTAACCACCACACCACCTACTGGTACTCTTTGTTACTTTTTAATATAATTACTAGAAAGTTTTAAAAGTTGTATGCGGGTCAATATTTCTACTGGATAGTACCACTTTAGCATTCCAGATCTGGAAAACCATCTAGACCTTAGAGCTCCTCTGGGCCAGCACTTTCACTTTATAGATGAAGAGTTTGAGATCCAGAGACATTGGTTGCCTTATCCATAAAAGTCCAGAATGGAGAATCCCAAGCCTCCTGCTTCCAGCCAGTATCTGGGCACTAGTCATAGGATCTGCTCTATATAACTGGAAAGATTTCAGTAGAGGGTCCTAAAAGAGAAGGAAGTACTCCCAGAAGGAAATTTTCACTAATAAGGGCCAGACCTGTACCTTAGTAGTTAAGCACTGTGCCTAAAATGTCAGATCCCACATAGCTGACTTTGTTTCAAATCCTGGCCCCAGGAATTTGAAAAACACCCTGGGCATGCGTGCATCTGTGACCTAAATCCTCTTGGGATAGAAAAATAGAGGAGAACAGACCATGGCCCACTGGGAAAGGGATATTTTCCCTCTCTTCTCTCTCTCTCTCTCTCTTCTCTCTCTCTTTCTCTCTCTCTCTCTTTCTCTTTCTATGGCACATATATGCACACTCTGGCAATTAAAAAAAATTGTAAGTAATGCACTGAGATCTAATTTTTAAAAAAATCCTCCTCCAAATCCCCAATTTGAAGGGACAGAAGATTATGTTTATTCTATCAATATGTATAACTAATGCAGTTACATTGGCCAATTACATCTTTCCTTTTTTTTCTTTATTTTTTTAAGAATTATTGTATGGGACCAGCAATTAGCTGGTAAAGGTTATGTCGCTATACTCCCATGTAGTCGACCATGGTTAGAATCCTAGGCCTCGTGACTTAAACTCACACTGGGCGCGTGTGCGTGCATGCCCAAGATCCTGAGAGGAGAATGGAGGAGAAGGGATTGTGACATGGCCATCCCCCCCTGAGGGGTGATTTCTTGCTTTCTGTCTCCGTCTTTCTGGCAAGCACATATGCCCTATAGCAAAATCCTCTCCAAAAATAAATACATAAATAAATAATGAATGTCTTTAACCATAATTATTTATTTATGTATTCATTTTTAATATGACCAGAGAGGGGCTGAGTGGGGCAGGGGAAGGGAGGAGTGAGAAAGCAAGCAGCCTGGTCCAGGACTTGAACCATAGTCAATCATGTGGGAGTCCAGCACCTTTAGCTTCCATGCCACCTGCCAATCCCCCAATTATATTTTAAAGTTCATTTAAGAAATCCACTAAACCACATGGAATGTGATGAATCTAGAGTAGTATTTTTTAGAACTATAAGACATAGACATACAACTCATCTCTTGCCATTAATAGACTCTTCTTTTTCCAGAAAGGGATGTTCTTTATAAAGAGTTTTATTTTGCTAGTAAACTTACTTTTCAAAGAAAAAAGATAGTAAGACGTTTCACTGTGCACCAATAATGTAAATTGTTCTCCAATCTCCGTCTGGCCTTAGCCCTGGCAGCCCCTCCGTGCTGAGCGGATTGCAGCCCTTGCATAATGAACCTGAGGTTAAGCTCAAGTTGACAGGAAAATTACAGTGCAGAAGCCGAATGTTTCTAATGCATATTTTATGCCTTTTGAAGTAAAAATTATACCTTATAATGAATGGTGTCTCTGAGGAGTTGACTGTGATGAGCACATTTTCAGAACTAAAGATTCGAGACTGGAAATGTCTTTCCCATAATGTGGGGTGTCTGGCTTCTTTCCAAAAGAATTATATTCAAATATGTTTAAGGTAAAATAAATCAGAAGCCTATTTTTTTCTTAAAGTGTCATTCATGAGCTTTGTAGTAGGAGTAAATAGCATATTTGCCTCATTGCTCTTTTGTCCATTGCCTTTGTTACTTGCAATTTTCCTTTCTCTTTAGAACTGCGCGAATGTCTCTGCGAAGAAGGTACAGCAACATCTGGAGACCCTTGAGGAAGACGGCATGAACTGGCGTGCCAAAGTCAAGGAGCATGAACGGGCCCTGACCTGTGACTTGGAGTACTGCATCACAAGAGACGAGATAAATGAGGTAGGGGAGGGAGGAGGGTGAGACTAACCAATTGCCAAAGCTGCTCTGAGCCTAAAGCATGTCCCAGTGTCTACACATGCATTTTCATGGGCGCAGACAAAGCCATGTCACACACATGGTTGTGCACACACACACAAACACAATGAATCAAGAGATTGTCTCCTCATTTATATCCTTTAATTTAATTAGCAGTGGCTTCAGAGTTCTGAAAGTTTTGAGTAAATTTGGCACTCCTGACCTTGTTGAAGTCAGAAAAGTGTTGATGCATAAAACAAACCTAAAATGTATTATAGTATTACAGTTGTTTGGGTGCTACTGTTTGTTTTTTGCACTCTCACACACACTCAAGCAGTCATGTGCTTGAGTGGATGCACTTTTTTTTTTTTTTATTTTGAACACAGAAGAAAAGGTGACACTGACCGTTTGCAGCCAGCTTCAGCCTGCCGAGATTCTATTTAAGTACCATTGACTCACAGTGAAGGGTGCTAAGGACCAGGGAGCAGGCTCTTTGCTTCAGAGGCTACTAAAGTATTATCAGCAAAGTCAAGTGGCTGGTTTCACATTTAATCAAAGTGAGTGGCTTTTCTGGCAAAATAACTTTTAGAGAAAAAGAAACAACAAATAAAAGTGGTCCTGCATACCTATGCACCTCCCCTACATGTGTAATTCCACCTACTCCCCCTCAACTGTAACCGATCGCCAATCCCCAGACACTTGCTGAGCACGGCTTCCACCCATTTCTAGCTAAATCTTCATTCAAAGGGAAAAACACAGATAGAGATAGCACTGGTCCTAATTCTTGACTGGGAATTAAGAGCAGAACACGAGGGTACCCATAATTTCAACCTGTCTCCACTTAGAACAAACGTTTCTCAGTCTGTTAGTTGTAAATCTACTAGGAAAGGTCGTAGGGGAAAAGAAGGTGGTAAATCTCCTTGAATTTCCTGTTTATGCCATTTACTTCATCTAGACCCAGCCAGTAAGCAGCATTAAGCATGGATGAAAGTGTGAGTCACTAAACTTTAACAGTGATCTAGTTCCGAGTGCCCTTCCTGCAGGCCATACTTCTGCAGCTCGCGGACTGCTGCAAGAAGGCTGGACAAGAAATGAGAAGGGAAGAGGGCCGAGTGACCACGTGGACTTGTTCAAGAGGAGGGAAGCAGGATGTGCCATCTGATAACATTTTCCATTTAGCAATATACTACAGAAATATGCATGTTTCTGCTCGTAATCTGCATTCCGGGGAATCACTGTGACTCAGTTACAACTGAGTTGAAACTCTCCCTGCCGGGTTTTGTTAAGGGAAATAATCAGAGCCTGTTGTGCTCTCCAAGGCTACAAAAGTTGTATTCAAGCCCATGTAAACATTACTGTTGTTTTTTTTTTTAACCATCTTTCTCCAAGTTATCTTTTCTTCCTCTTCTTCCCCTCTCTTCCTTCCTCCTGATCATCCTCTGTCTCCCCATTCACTTCCTTTTCCTCCTCCTTCCTTTTTATCCCTTTGTCATGCCAGAAACCTCTCTCCCTGCAGCAATAGTTCAGTTCTATATTTACTACAAGCTCAAGTGGAGCAGGCTAAGATTATCCCCAGCTCCCTCTGATCAGTCTCCATCTCCCTGAAGAGCTGTGCCATTTGTGGAGCTGGGTCTCCCTGTCCAGGCCCTTCAGCACAGATTCTATTTACAGAAACTCCCTCATGACAAGCCTGTGCTGGGAGCCAGCAGGCTGGGATGACAGATGTCCCTTCCAGTCATAGCAGGGACGCCCCAGGATTGCCTGTACCGTAACAGGAATGAGCAACCAGATACAGGCAGGTGTGATTTAGGAATCCGATAGCACGTTAGCATGCTCTTAAATATGAAAAGATCTTCCTATTTGCTTCTGCTTTAAATCAAAATCATCTTTGATATAAATTACAATTCCCCATTTGAAGACCTTTTGAAAACATTAGGTCCTTTTCACCTTTCCTTTAAAAAAAAAAAAACGGTTTTGGTAGACATGTCAGAATGTAGCATCCACACCCTGGACTTCCCAACCATAAGCCTCATAAGAAAATAATCAAAAGGAATATTTTTAATGTCTTTTAGTAAAATAAGGATATGCGTGTTCTAGTTGATGTTGTGAATATCAGAGCACAAACAGCCAGTTTCCGTAGTGGTAATAATATTTGACATGTAGATATTTTTATCATTATTATCATTAGTGTTTGCATATCGTGTTTAACATGTTACGTAAGAGTAAATGTGGGTTCACTGCGGTGGCACAAGCAGCAGTCACCACTCTTTGGTGGCTGAGGCTGCAGAGGAGGCCCAGGTTTGGCTCCCAAACCTAGACAGGCCGGGTGTAGTGGTGCACACCTGTGGTCCTCGGTCACCAGGAGGCTGAGACAGAAGGACTGAAACATGACAAGATCCTGTCAAAAATACTTCTCTTCCTCCTCACTTAGTTCTCTCTCTTTTTAAATTTTTTTCACTTTATTTTAATTTTTATGTAAATTCATTCATATTATTTAGCTTACAAAGTGAACATTTCAGTATGTGTGTGAACATTTCTCCCCAGTTTTTTTCTGCACAAAAATTAAATCATATGTCTTGCACAATTTTGTTTTAATTGATTTTAAAACACATTGTTTCATTTCTACTGTGCTTAAAGTGCTTCTTCAAAATTCCCAGAATCTGAGTTGCAATAGATTTTGGAGATTATGGAGTACAACGTTTTCATTTTTCAGATGAGAAATCTGAGGTGCATATGGTTCTTTTTAGCAACATGCTAGCAAGCTATAGTTTCTATTCAGAGTGTTTCAGGGAGCCAGCCTCAGACTAGGGTCATTTCTTGTGCACCAACATGCTTCCCATTGTAAATGCAGACTTCGCCATTCATCTAATGTGCTAGTCCCCTCCACTGCACGCCTGATGATAAACGCATCCTTTTCCTATGTTCTCCTTTTCTGCCCTATGTTCTGCCATATTTGTTATAAGATGTATCTATGATCTGACATAATAGCACAGTACATTTGATCATTTTGACACAAATTTCTGTTTTGACTATGCTATAGGTAACTTATGTGGTCTCAACTGCACTAGAAGAGAACTCAGTTTATCACGGCAAAATATCATAAGGCGTTCTAAACAGGAATTTTTTTAAAATGTGATGTGATATTTCTTAAAGACAAAGGATAATGCTTTTTAAATGATTATTTAATTGTATTTATTATTATTATCATTATTATTAAATTTGCTATAGGGCACATGTGCTCACCAGAGAGAGACAGAGAGAGAAAAAGAGTGAGGAAAAATGAGAAAGCAAACTGCCAGGTCCAGGACTCAAACCGTGGTCAGCCATGTGGAACTTCACCACCCCCAACCACCATGCCACCTGCTACCTCAAGGAGGACGTTTTTATGTCTTGATTTTTTTTTAAGTTTAAAAAACTTTTTAATTGCCAGAAGGAGTATTCTCTCCAGACAGAGAGATAGAGAGAAAGAGAGAAAAAAACACCTCCTATAGGGCATGGTCATGCCACAATCCCTTCTCCATTTCTCTAGGCTATTGGGAGTTTGAGCACACATGTCCAGTGAATTTCTCAAGTCACTGGGTCTGGGATTTTAACCACTGTCATCCACGGAGGATCTGTCTCACTTAGCCACTGAATCACAAAGCCAGTCTTTTTTTCTAATTTTATACTAAGACAAAAACTTGTAAAACTTTGTTTCCTCCATGTCTGCTTACTAGAAAACACAGCTTGAAACTGTCAAATTTGAGGGAGTTTCTCACCTATTTCACAAAGACACATACGTTTATTTGTATGCATGAGTGTTGAATTTCACTGTACATTTTCTTGCTTGGCTATGTAAGTAATTAACATGCAAAGCATTATAGATGTATTTTCTGCCATATTATATGACAAAGGAACGTCATTATTCATTCTTTACACGTTTACATTTAGAAATGTAATAAGCTAATAATGAGCATGTTTTCTTCTTGCAGCCTGACCCCCCCAAAAATGACCTTTATATTTACGTTATGTTAATGAAAATTTATAACCAGAAGCTTATATTATAGGTCACAATTACTTTGCTGAAAAGAAAAGTAATGATGCAATTGGGGTGACATCCATTTTCTCGAAATAAGTTTTCTACACAGAAGCTTTTAGATAATTATATAACATTAACCTGAAATTTTTCCACTGCAACATATTGCGTATAAGAAAATAAGCAGAAAATGACTTAGCATATATATCCTTTTATCACTCCTGTGTTCCAGGGGTACAAATTCTTTTGGATAAACCAGTCGTCTGAGTTCCAGGGATATCTGGTGAATTTGAAGCAGCAAATTTGAATAAAAACATGGTGCTACTATTGACACATATGTGATTAATAAAATGAAAACTGCTTGACATTGTGTGTCATTTTGCCACTGATATAATGACCAGGGACAGCCATAGCTGGCAGGAAAAGAGTTTTTATAGAGGGCAAAGCGCCCGGGGTGGGGGTATAGTACAGCCAGATTGTCCAGATTTGTAACCTGAATGTGTCATTTAAAAAAAAAAAATCTATATTATCTTTAGTTAGCAAATATCTTTAATGGGCCTACTGTGTACTAGGCTATAAGAATAGAAATTGATTAATAAAATGAAAACTGCTTGACATTGTGTGTCATTTTGCCACTGATATAATGACCAGGGACAGCCATAGCTGGCAGGAAAAGAGTTTTTATAGAGGGCAAAGCGCCCGGGGTGGGGGTATAGTACAGCCAGATTGTCCAGATTTGTAACCTGAATGTGTCATTTAAAAAAAAAAATCTATATTATCTTTAGTTAGCAAATATCTTTAATGGGCCTACTGTGTACTAGGCTATAAGAATAGAAATGTACTCAGGAAATTTGGAGCCTACCAGAATTAAAGCCAGTGGGCTTCACAGTCATGGACATTCAATAATTTTGCTCTACCCTGAGTGCATTTGAATGATTTGTATAAGAGGATAGGAAAGACTGCAGTTTGT